GCGCCCTCAAGACTTGGTTATTCCAGCTTGCAGGACTGGCCTAGGGTAATTTTTAGGGGGGTTTTAATTATATTTTAAATTTGACAAATATTTAATATTCTTTTTAATTAATTTTAAATTTGTATTGTTTTGTATGTATTTTAAATAGATTGTCAGCCGCCCTGAGTCCTACGGGAGAAGGGCGGGATATAAATTCAAAAATAAATAAATAAATAAATAAAAAATTCCACTTCTAGCACTGAAGATGTTTCCTAACTTTTACTCTAGAGTAGAGTAGAGTAGAGTAGAGTAGAGTAGAGTAGAGTAGAGTAGAGTAGAGTAGAGTAGAGTAGAGTAGAACCTTGGAGGTCTTCTAGACCAACCCCCTGCTCAGACAGGAAACCCTGTACCGTTTCAGACAAATGATTGTCTGGATAATAAAACCTGCAAGAAAACAACCAAGCTCAGAGAGCACCAAGGAGTCCCCAATCTTCAGTTTCTAAATATGAATAACTCCTAACGTTAACAGAAAAAGGCTAGTGAACTATTGCTATGGACACTAAAATGGTCCATAAAGATTATAGGCAGATGTTACTCATTGTTTTTATTTCCTCCTTTGAAACTGGATGTGGAAGCTGATTAAGAAGGGAGCAAAAGTGGGGGGGAGTAGTTTGGTGCAGACTGAATCAGCTAAGAAATAAAGTTGGAGTTTGGGCAGGTTTCTCACGATGTTGGTTGTAAATTTGAACTGAGAATTATAGATTTTGGGTCTCTGTTGAAATAGTCACCCTGTGCATTTGTACATAAACTAGATATTACAATGAGTCTCCTGAGATTATTTTCAAAAGAAAAGCAAATGCGGGCGAATGCTAGACATTCTCACTAAGTGGGAAAACTAAGATAAGATTCAACAGAAATTCTTAATCAAATCCTAATTGATTCTAAAAAATTCCCTACACTCAGATAAACTTTGGGAAGAGAGTTCTGTCCTAGTCTCTGTGGGTCCTTGTTAAGTTCACAAGGAGAAACCCCTCTTCCAACAAGCAGGCTGGAACCATAGGAAAAAACCAATCCCCTTTTATTATTCACAGACCTGAGTCAATGTCCAAGGAAAACAAACACAGTTCACAGAAACTCGATCCTCAACACGAACGGTTGCCTTTGGCAACAAGCGCCTCCCACACCTTCCCTTTTATTATGCAGCCAAGGCGTGGCTTCCTAATGCCTTCTCCTTTGCCTTTGGAGCCACCCCATTGCATTCCTCTGTCTTACTCTCTTTTCTTGCTGGCGTTTTCGTGCATCCTGGATATCTCCCAGCTGTGATTCATCACTGTCCAACTCAGACTCCCAGCACAGCTGTGTCTCAGCCTGAGCGCGAGTAGAGGGGCCAGGCTTCTCGTCAGACTGTAAGCCTTGGAGCTCCTCAGAGCCTTCCTCTGACTCTGATGTCACTCCAGACCCCTCCTCCTCCTCTGCTTCCCCAGACTCAGCTGCTGGGTCTGCTGGCTGGCGAGGAATCACAACAAAGAGCAGGGTGGGCTGTACAGGTAGTCCTCAACTTAAGACCACAATTGAGCTCTACTATCTTTTGATTTCGATAGAAAAAAATCTCTCATACATACCAATAAGGCAATAGAAAAGGAACCGGCACAAGCGCACCAGCTGATGCAACAGTGACAATATGACCATGGTTCTTTTTCATCATAGCTGGCAGGAAAGCTTTTATTGTCTGCAATTAAGATTCCACATGTGACCAAAAAGAAAAAAGAAAAAATACAACACCCCACATTGCCAGATGCTTACATTTCTGTATTTTTCATTCAGAAACACACACATTCTTAAACTGAATAATTCGAATGCAAGTTATTTATAATTAAATGATTTCTCCCTCTTCAATAATCATTGGAAGCAGTGGTGAACGTAATAGTGTTATATGTACCATGGTGTATGTGATAACAGGAGCACTGATAAGTACATAGGAATTAACTTTCTTAAAATAAATTATTTTTCTATATGCACTAATAGGACTGACTAGCACTGACCATGTTACCATGTTTGGGTAATGAAACATCTGCAAGATAAATTAGCCCCCTAATTTATCTGGAATGATCTGGCTTTGAGGTTTAGTTATATTAGGTCTTCTCCAGTCCAAGTTCAGACTCGGTTTTTGCACAGATCCTATCTTGCTAACAGCAGTAAAGCCACCATAATAATCTCAAGGTTAGAATAGTACACCGGAATCTTTGAGACAGCCCTCAATAAGAGACTGAATACAGCAAAGTATGGCAATACAGATGATGAACAGGCCTTCAAGAGATATTATAGTACAGCTATGCTGAAATAGCGGTCCTGATTAAAGTTGCATTCAGGGCTAAATATAAGGTGCCCATTAGGGCAGGGGTGGGCAATTAATGTATTCAAGGGGGCACATGAGAAACTGGGACTGTTGTGGAGGGCTGAACCAATATGGTTGTGTCATGGTTCCAACAGATGAAACTCTTCAAAGACCTTTGAGGCATTCTTTACCTTAAAGAATCTTTATTCGAGCAGCATAACATCGGCACATACATAAGCAAAGCCAAAATCTGGATTCCCCTCCCCTTAGTTCTGATATGCAGGCATTTTGCATGATTTTTTTTTTTGAAATGAAGAAATTTGTATGTCTTAAATTTCTTAAAATTTCTCTAGTTAACCTCACTTTTCTATCATGGCCAAACTAGGAAAACAGTGGTTAATATATCTGGGGAAAAGAAAACCAGGAGATTAAAGAAGAGCCTCAACTTGGCTTTATATCTTTCTTGTTCCAAAATTGTTAATGGTAGCTTTTGACTTCAGATAAAAATCAGAAGCCATAACCAAATAGTTCCTTATGCTTTTCCTTATTTTCCTTATTGCTTTTCAAAACAACTACACACAAATGCTCAGATTTCAATTGTACACTAGCTGATATAGGCAGCCCACTCTTAATTAGCTGAGAAGTTCAAGTGAAAGAAGGAATTCTCATTTGTCCAAATCTAGGTTTGAATGCAATCCGGAAGATGGAAAGTAATTTTAGACCTCTTATTGGATTGCATGCATTGGACGTTGGCGAAGGCTACTCTCAATCTAGTTTAAATTTGGGCTGACATTATGGAAACTTCTTGAGTTGGTTCTTCCTTTGTGCTTCTTGTTTGTTGTTCCAGGCCATTTATCATATTGGCAAATCTCAGTTTTATTATACAGTTTTCTGCTGTCATATTTTTCAAGCAGTTAGCGGAAACCGGTTTTACCGACAGATGAGTTGCATTCTAACCTTCCCCAATGACATTTTTAGTTAGGATCGCGCTTTAAGTTCCTGCAAGCTCAATTAAGCTTAAGCACCATATCCCCAATATTAAGGGAATAGTTAAAATTTAAGTTCTTAGTGATACCTACCCAGTAATGAGCTAGGATGTTGATTTCATACATTTTTTGTATTTGCGTGTCTGGAGTCGAAAGCAGATCTCCTGTTACTACCATACCGGCATTATTTATTAAAATAGTAACATCTCCAACATCTTTTTTAACCTTTAAAGTTAAGAAACAGAAATTATTAAACTTTGCACTGGTTAAACTTGGTTTTCTTCCTATGCTGCCTTATAGATCTTTGTACAGACTGAAAGGCACAGTAAAGATGGAAGGTTTTAAAAGAAAAATGCACATTTACAAATTCTAGATCAGGCTTGGCGTTCTACGGATGTGCTGTATTTCAGTACGTTAGCACTAGAATTTGGGGAGCTGAAGTCTTGACATATTGGGATAGTCATGTAAGGCTGATTTAGAAGGCAAGTGGCATCATCAACCCAGATATACAATGATTCTACGAAGAGGCTATTTCGGTAAAACTGAAGCACTTTGTTTTTGTTTTAAAATTTTGTTGGCCACTGGCCAGAGTTGAACAGTAAGGTACACTTCAAATTAACAACCAAGTATTCACTGGGTCTCACTGACAAAAATGTGACCCTGAAAAGCAAACACAGGAACATTTCTAGGTGAGATGGGCGGCAAACAAGATAAACAAACTAACAAATAAATAAATGTTCCATTTCTTTCTTCAAGAAGCAATGGGTGAGATAACTAGGGGAAAACTTAACTGCAAAAATATCTATGTGATGCGGACTCATTCCATGGCTGACAAGAATATAGAGGTAGTCCTTAACTTACAATGGCAATTGGAACAATTAATTATTATTTGTTACACAATAACTATATCATACTGAATACGGAAAAAACAGTTTCTAAGCTCATTAGAATGTGATAATCTTTTTTTTAAAAGCTGGTTTTTCCAAAACTTTATAAAAAAACAGGGAAACAACACGCTCATTTACTGTACAGAATTCTCACTTTCTCAGCCGCAGTGTAGATTTCGTCTCTCAAACTGCAGTCCACCACATAAGGATATGCTTCAACTCCCAGCTTTCTGCATTCTTCAGCTGTTTCCTGTATGCCAGGCTACAAACAGTAGAAAGGATAAATATCGTTCATTTCTTTGCGTTCTGCCAACAAAATATTACTGGGGGAAAGGTTACTACGTGAGCACGATCATAGTTCCAGAATTTAAAGTTCACATATAACCAAACCAATATAGATATTCTGAACAGTCATGGATTGGCTTCTCTAAAAGGATGCTTCCTTCTATATGGACTGCTAGACAGTTAACCGAATCAATGGTAGAGCCATCTCCACTTTACTCTGTCCAATGAGTAGTCAGAACTAGTTGGCCAATATGCACGTTCAGTTTTCACCAGGGGATTCACTGTGTCTTGCAAATAGAGACTGTAAGATAGAAGGATGATTTAGGATCATGCAGTCTTAGTATGGTTATCTATAAAATCCTATACAAATGTATGGAGCACTGAGACTCATCCCAAGTCTCCACAGCAAATGTGCCTGGCCTAAATAACCCCTACTGGAATGAACTGGCTCATCCCTTGAGATCAGTAATAAAAGTACCATCAATAAAATCATGTGTTTCCCATTTAAGTGTGATAGCAATCTTGGAATCTCTCAAGCTACGTGAGAAGCTTCTTGAACAAAGCATTCTAAGTGTTATTGTTAAGCATGTAGCAGGAAGCAAGAACCCCATATATATAATTAATCTATTTAATTAATACCTTTTACTCACTGAATACTACACTGTCTAAATAATTTCTTTTCCTGGCTTCTTACAGCCCACTAATCAGTAGTTCTAGAAGATAACGCTTGACTTAGAGGTGGAGACACCTTTCAGAAATTAGATTAGAACATACAATAACAGAGTTGGAAGTTGGACCTCAGACATCGAGCCCCCTGCTGGAGCAGGAGACCCTATATCATTTCAGACAAATGGTTGTCCAGTCTCTTTTTGAAAACCTTCAGTGATGGAGCACCCACAACTTCTGAAGGCAAGTTATTCCATTGGTTAATTGCTCTCACCATTAAGAATTTTCTCCTTAGTTCTAGATTGCTTCTCTCCTTGGTTAGTTAGTTCCCAACCATTACTTCTTATCTTACCTATTAGTGCTTTGGAAAATAGTTTGAACCCCTCATCTTTGCAGGAGCCCTTCAAATATTGGAACAGTGCTATCATGTTCCCCCTACTCCTTTTTTTTCATTACACTAGAGTCATACCCAATTCTTATAACCGTTCTTCGTTTTAGCCTCCAGCCCCCTAATCATCTTTGTTGTTTTTCTCTGCACTCTTTCCAGAGTCTCAACATCTTTTTTGTAATGTGGTGACCAGACCTTGATGCAGTATTCCAAGTGTGATCTTATTAAGGCTTTGTAAAGTGGTATTAGAACTTCATGTGATCTTGAGTCTATCCCTCTATTAATGCAGTCCAGGACTGCATTGGCATTTTTGGCTACAGCCGCTTACTGTTGCTCATATTTAAGTGATTGTCCCCTAGGACTAGGCTGTCTTATGTCAGGGCACAAAGAATTATGACTACATGTTAAATTCCAGGTAAGCTAATGTATTGCTCTGGCCCATATATAAGAATCTAATTAACTAAAGGTCAGCACTAAATTGGTACTAGATAAGAGTTAACAGAATTCAAGAGGGGTTGGATTTAGATCCTCTGTGGGAAGATAATGATTTCAGGCTGATTCCTCTTTTGACTCAGCCTCTATCTGCTCTCCTCCTATGTCTTATTTCTATTGTGTAAATAGGGGTGTCTAGAGGAGAAAGAGTAAAAAAATATGAAGATGGCTTGGATTGCACAGTTATAGACATGATCTTGACTCCATTTGCTCCCCAGCAAACCACCTATATGTAAACTACATTTTCCATCCTGTATTTCATGTTTTATACAACATTTTCAGAGCTACAACAAAACAAGCAACTGACCACAAAATTTGCCTTTAATTGATTTATACAAACACATGTAATCTTGTGAATAAACATATATATATATACACACAAACATTCTGTGGTTGTATGAAAAAACTTTCTTTGCTCATTTATTTGGAATTTATTTGCCAAAAGATGACATTAAAATAATAAAGTTAGCACCTGCATGTAGCCAATCATCTTTAAAAAGCTAAGCAGGCTTGCGGGGTAGGTAGCTGTAAGGATGAATGTGTGTGTGTGTGTGTGCAGCACCCCATCTGCTTCTCTCCCTTCCCTAATTTTAAAATGGGGTTATATGTAGCTTTTGAGGAGTCTGTTGTAACTTTGAACAGTCATTAAATGACCAGTCATATCTCAAGTCATATGTTTGTGAGTGAGAGATTTTATCTCCCGTGTATATATTTACTTGCAGCATTTTCATTGCTGCCTACAGCAGTAGAACATAAAAACAATCCATACAATAAAATATAAGAACGCCCTCCTCCAATGCAGAAACCTAAGAACGTACATAAGAACAAACAGCAGCATTCCAGTCATTGCTGGGCTTCAAAGAATGAAAGTATTTTCACAGCCTTGTGAAATTTCTGAGGAGGAGAAGCTTGGGTGCACTTTATGTTTGAATGTAAATTCTTGATTTGCTTTTTTTTTTTTTTAAAGACAGTTGACAAACAAATGCAACAACAGGACACACTTGTAATTCTTGTAAAGAATTAAAATCAGGAATATAAGAATACCACATAAAACATTTTGCTGAAGAAGAACAAAGGTTGCATTAGTACTGGATGAGCTGGTTCAAAGTCTTTATTGCATGTAGTAACAGAATAACAGAGTTGGAAGGAGCTCAAACAGGAGATCCTATACCATTTCAGACAGAGTAAACTGTCCTGAATACTAGATAAACATGTTTTATGCTGTTTAAAACTTTAAATAAAATGCTATTTCTGCAAATTACACAGGCTTGTTTCTACAAGCTGCTTACCTATTTTTCAAACATAACAGAAAGCATACTGTATTTCCATTGGAACCTGTCCCACAGATATCTTTAGATCTTATTTCCAGGAATGTTTGACAGCCTTTTGCTTGTTTTTCTTTCTGTCCCCCCTCTCCTCTTTCTATCTTGTTAATTTGCTAATTCTAAAGTAAAATAATTGCCGTACCTTGTTTATGTCCCAGAGAACCAATCGGCTTCCACGTTTGGCAAATTCAAAGGCTGTTAATTTTCCGATGCCGCTGGCAGCTCCAGTGATAAGGACAATTTCACCTGCCACAGATTTCCTCTTCACAGGAATAAAAAATTTCACCAAAGCTTCAATATAGCAATAGATTGCAAAGACTGAAAACCAGAGGAAATCAAATATGGGATGCATTCTTGCTTTCTTCTACAAATGTCAACTAACAGATTGTCGGGAGGACTTTAGAATAAGCCTTGCAAAAAACTCCGCCCTATGCAAATCCACTTACGAAATGAAGCAGAAGAAAAAACACACCTGCTCTTTAAAGGTTATCACAAGCAGCATGTTGTGCTTCCAAATAATCTTTTTTCTTTTCAGCAGTTCTGACATTCAGAGAATTTTATGATAGGATATATGGTAATTGTTGTGGTTCCGACAGATGAAACTCTTCAAAGAACTTCAAAGAACTTCGAGGCATTGTTTACCTTAAAGGATCTTTATTCGAGTAGCATAGCTTTGGCACACACATAGGCAAAGCCAAAATCTGAATTCCCCTCCCCTGAGCACAAGGTATCAAAGCACAATTCCCTCCTCTAATTAACAGTCATAAGTCACATTCTCCAATTAGTTTGAAATGCCGGCTTTCCCTCCAGTTCTTCAACCTGCCATTTCTTATCACCTCTTATTTCAAAAAAGCTTGGTTCTCACCCTTGTTACAAATTGTTATGTCTAACAAATGGTATAGGTGTTAGAAGTAAAGTCTTCATCCTGGTTCATCCAAGCCGGGAATAAATAAGCAACATGGTGACTGCTTTGGGAAGATGGTTACAGTTTATTGAAGAAGCAGAAAGATGGTTCTTGCAGGAAAGAGCAGAGGAGAGAAGCGGCTGAGCACATGGGCGAGGGTTTTTTTATACCCTCTCTAGCCTTTTGTTTGGAAGTTTCCTGTTCCTGTGGCATGAACTTTGAGGCTATTTCCTGTGTCACGTATTCTGACCTGAGCCTAGGTGTGCCTTTCTGGTATACTTGATGGTAATGAGTTAGTCCTATTATGTCCTAAAAGTCATATCCTGCTTCCCTGGTGATGGGGCTAATGACTCCTAGAGTTTGGGTTGGGTATGCAGATTTTCTCTTTGTCTTCTTGAGTTCCTGGCTCCAGCCTTCCTGATGGTTTTACATTTGCATTTGTATAGGGCTGGCTACTGCTTGGGGCAAAGAGAAGAGGCCAGGGTTGGTTTCTGGTTTTAAAAATCCCTTTGAGGAAAAATATATTTTTCTGCCCCTTTTAATATTTCCTTCTCTGGGGGGGGGCTTCCCACATAGGGTTTCCTGCCTGAGCAGGGGTTTGGACTAGGGGTTTGGACTAGATGACCTCCAAGGTCCCTTCCAACTTTATTATTATTATTATTATTATTATTATTATTATTATTATTATTATTATTATTATTATTATTATTATTATTATTATTATTATCTAAACTCCCATGCACATTCCTCCTCCCCCCCCAGTATCATCTAATTCTAACTCTAATTCTAATAGTAAAACATAAGAAGGAAAATGGCTGCATCTCCATATGTTGTCAAAGCAAGAACATCCGATGTTAGCAGCCTTGACAGTAATATTATTCAATTATTCCATTCCTTCTTCCATTAAAAATACAGAATAGCTGCACAATAATTTTTGAGTTAAAAGGAGTAGAAGCTGTTGAGTAAAGCTGAACAGTAATATATTTAGGATTAACCCCAGAGAAAGATCATCCATCAGGCCCACCTTGAAAACTATGAAGTTGATCAAGGCAATCGGTTTCCTCCAGGACTGCCTGTCATTGAGAGACTTCCACTTTTTCACATTAGCCCAGGGGTCTTCAAACTTGGCCCTTTTATGACTTGTGGACTTCAACTCCCAGAATTCCTCAGCCAGGCATGCTGGCTGAGGAATTCTGGGAGTTGAAGTCCACAACTCATAAAAGGGCCAAGTTTGAAGACCCCTACATTAGCCAATTGCAGTTGGTTGGTTATAATTCCTAATCTCTGAGGAATCTCCATTAATAGGGAATTAATAGATTTGTTCCCCCTCCCAAGATAAATAATGGACTTCTGCTCTGCTCTCTTCTACCTTGTTGCAAGCTTGGAGAAAGGCTGGTAACAAAAGTAGGATGGGTGGAACTTAATATGGAAAGAATTTAGGAAAACAAACAGAGGAGCCAAATGCTGGGAGTAAAATGGCTGCAACAAACACCGGTTAGTGACCAAGGGAAATGGGAATGACAAGGACTCCCAATATTCCTTAAATACTCCTCTGTTTGGCCACATCCTATTTGTCAAGGCTGTTTAACTGGCTAAGCAAAGATATGAGAATCACACATTTCAGATAAAGATATGTAACATGAGGATGTAAAAACAAAAGTCTTGAAATCTTTCAAGAGTAAATTCCCAAGAGGTTAATTAAGGCAGAGTTATTTTCAAACAGCTCCCGAGCTGTGTAGCCTCTTCGCTTATAAAGTCCTCCTCTACCTCCTCACATTACTTCATCTCATTCCCAGGTGCCAAATGGTTTGTCTACCTTGAAGCTGAGATAAGATTTCCTCAGCTAGGAAGGAAAATACAGTCTTTATATTGTTAGATATTAATGAATTGAGGTTGTTTGATTCATCAGTTGGGAACGAGAAGAAGACAGAAGCTTTGAACCAGAGGATTGGACCCGTCAAATCATAATGGCTGTGTGAAATCATAAGCAGGGGGAGGGCTGAAGAAGTGAGGGCGACCTCAGGGTGGGGCCATACATAGCGCTGAGCTAGAACATGATTTGTTTACTTTGGGTTTCAAGTTTTATAAAACAACTGTGATTTGATTCAATAAGCCACTCTTACTACAACCTTAATTACTGCTGTGAAAATAATTATCCAGGGACGTACACAACGATTCTTTGAGTGGTGAAAGATAGGAGTTATTCATGTCAGAGCCTGCTGAGTATTTACAAATGGTTGGGTTTTTGGTGTTCTCTGAACTTGGTTGTTTTTCTGAACATGCTTCATTGCCAGGCTGAGTAATAAAACTCAAGAGATCATTTTGCACTTGGAACTAAAGTACTTCAAAGTGGGTTTGAAGTTACGTTTATGTCTTCTTTATATGTCAGGAAGAAATAAACTCATCAGAGTGTTATACTAGTACGTGAAAAAGTTATTTTAATATAGATTTGTGAAGAATAATGGTTGGAATTCCTTTTGCAGATTACGTAAGAAGTATTAAACAATGATATTAGACATGTGATTTCACATTGGAACGCTTGGGAAGATTTGATACTTTGAGTCATTCTTGTTTCTTCAAATCAAAACTGATATCCAAAATCTTTTCCAAAGCCAACAAAGCACGCTCAGGAAGAATTCTGGGGGGGGGGGAATAGAGGAACAATGAACAAAAATCTCAAAACCTGCTTCAATGCAAGACCTTGATTTCACTGCTTATTTTTTGATATGCCACAACATGTATTTTAATTCTAATTGTCAGTGCAGAAGTTCAGCCCTTAAGCACCCTGCATACATACATTTCCATCCAAGTGCACATTGTAATGGAGAATGGCATAACAATCTTGTTTTGATTGTAGAGTATCCCATCCACGAGCCGCCTTGCAACTGCCTCAGGTGTCAGAATAGGTATTATTCTGGAATTGTAATTGTTGGCGTTATTAATAGTGAGATATTAATTCATTTTATTTTAAAAGAAGTGACTGCTGGGTCTTGTGGACTACAGTTATCAGTGATACTGATTCTATCTGCTCGGATATGGTGGTGACAAATGAACACCACGTCCTCTTTTGTAGCTGCCATAATAACTTATTTTTATTTATAGAAATATTTTTGGTCCTGGAAGCATTTATACAAAAGGGGGGGGGGAATTGGGGCTTGGGGGGGGGAAAGGAAAGAGAATGGTAGTCCAGAGTCTGGTTCAGAAATCTGCTCACATAGTCCAGAAAAATAAAGTTGGAAGATGGAAGGAAGAACCTTCTGGGCATGGTGGGGGAAAAGTTCAGCTACTCTTTCTCATGGCAGCCATTTTGGGAGAGACTCCAAAATATGTTCTCCAGATCCTGTTGGTTTCAAATGGTTAGCAATGTGCATGTAAACTAGTATTTCTCAACTTTGGCAATTTTAAGATAGCTGGACTTCAACTTCCAGAATTCCCCAGCCAGCACGTTGAAGTTGATAAATATGCATCAATATGATAAATCTTCAGAGTCAGTTAAAATACAAATGGTGAGAGTCAGGAAGAGATAACATAAAGGAAGTAAGATAAAACATATAGGCAAAAATAGCTGGGTCTTAAGAGTGGGAAAAGGAAGAAGAAAACATCTGTAATAGAAGATAACTAGCAAAACAGGAAAGAACCTATTTTTCTAAGAAGTCATAAAAAAGGGGGCCAGAACTCAGGCAACTGAGCATGCGCAATTAATTGATTAATATTAACTGACACACCTTGCATAAATTATCTCCTAATTTTAATATACATGTGATGTATGATTTAGTATGTAGCAGGAAATATGTAGGAGGCGGTCGGAAAGAGTGTAACCTCATAGTACCTCAGCCAATGGGGAAAGAGGAGGGATGTGGCGGCCGGGACAAGGGATGTATAAAGAAGAAAATAATTTGGGTTAAAACTTTGGGGAGAACCAAGCTTTGATAGCTTCTCTCCCCGCTTATTGCAATAAACGAAACAAAAGGCCTTCACTGTGTCTTGGCTGGTTATTGGTCAGGCGAGCTTGCCTCTGGTCACGAAGGAAAGTAGCCAGGAGCACATAACAAAGTTGAAGTCCATATGTCTTAAAGTTGCCACGGTTGGGAAACTGTTCTATGCTAACTGGACCCATCTTGTCTCTTACCTCGACTGTGGGTTTTTTTTTACAAACCCCGTGTTTACAAAAAATGGACACAAGCAAGTAGTCTTGATCCCATCTTTTCCCAAAGCAGACAATTCTTTGGTGAAGTCTTTGTGAAGCCCTAAAGCGGCAGACTTGCTTGAGCTAAACAGGAGAGGAGAATTAGGGAAGAAAAGAATTTTATTTCTTCCATTAAAAAGAGTTAAAACCAATTAAAAACAGTAACAACAAAAAGACAGGAAAGAATGCAATCAAACCTATACAGGCCCTTCATGAGCTCCACTTTCCCATAGGATTCCTAGGCCCAAAACTTTGAGGGTTTTCCAGATGAGCAACAGTATTGGGGCCAACCTCACCTCAGGGGAAATGATATTTCAAAAAGTGGGTCCCCCACCAAATGAAACTCTGTGGCTTAAGGGACCAGCAACATGCTTCCCTTCCTGATGGACCTGATGGGATGGGGGGATGTTTTCTCTTCTCACGAACCTTTCTCCTC